AAAGATCATCCAGAAAAATGGGGATGAGCCCTGTGACTTGTGATGCACTGAATAATGCCCACAGATCCAAGCCACGTCGCCAGCTCCAGCTCCCACACTGCACACTGCCCCCCATGCGTCCACACCTCACCAAAACAAATGTAGCACATCTGAGACCTTCCATCTGCAGGGGCCAACTACAGGATTTAAGCTTTAGGATTAGCAGACTCTAGAGAAATTCCCAAAACTTTATCAGCACATGGAGTCACAGAGTGGACTGCAGGAGACTTAAAGCGGCTGGATTCCTGGAGAAGTTCCTAAAAGTGAAAATAGTTCTCTGCTCTGTATCCCTGTTTATCCTGAATTGCATGTCACAGAAGTGAAGGGTGGCAGGATCTAGCAAAAGCATAGCAAAGTGCGTAGCCGTGTGCCTCCCACACAGACTGTACCGAGGGCTCCCTATCTGAAAATGATGTGAAGTCACCATTTCTAGTGCTTACCAACGGGGCTGCCCTGATGTAGCCCTGTCAGTGTGCTTCACAGGCCTCGCTCCAAGGGGACAAATGAACCTGGCACCAACTCTGCTGAAAACCGGAGTACCTGTGGTACCGCAGCTCCACATCCTATGGCTGTGATCATCCGAGCATGCGCTTACTGCCTAAAACATGCATATTCCATTACCTCCAGCTAATAAATCTTCTATTTTTACCCCTCATCTCTCTGCTTTCTCAATAACCATTTTGATATAAACCACCGCTTGCTGTTCCCAATGACTAATCCCTTAATCATCTTTCTTAAATATATGCAAAGTGTACTTCTTCGTAAATACAAAAGAAAAAGCAATCACATAAATAATTAAGATGGCTTTTCAAATGACAGTTGAGTGCTAATATGAGATACACACTGGAAAATAATAATCAACAAACTAAATACACATCTATTAAAACGTAGGAGTCCAGACAGATGAAGACAGAAAAGAAATTCATTGCAACCCCATTTGAATCATGCTTTGATAAACATCCTCCCTACAGCTCCTCTGTCCGTCACTTGGTAAGGTTAAGAAAAGTAAGCATTGCTTGCACTTCATGTATGAATAAGAAATGATTATCATTACTGTTATTAATAGCAGCAGCTAACATTTAATGGAGCGCTTCATCTTTCCCCACAATGTGTTAATACTTTACGCACACACAGGCAATGTGCGTAATACAACCACCCCTACCTCTTGCCACAGACACCGCTATATGCATTTTATAAAAGAAAAAACTGATTAAAAGTTTTTTAAAAACTTGCCCAAGGTATGTATCTGTTTCTAATAAAATAGTGTATTTTATCACAGTAGCAACTGACTGGGAAGAATTCGGACCCCTGGGAAACAAAAGCCTAGAGACCAAGCCTGGAGACATTTGGGGTGGCCACATGGGGCTGGGGGGACATGGAGGGCAGCGGGTGAGGAAGGCTGATCATGCATACCTTTGTCCTTCATGTACTCAGCATCAGATGAGCTCTGAGGCCCACTGATGAGCCCCATTTCTGGACTAAGGCCAGTGCACCCATAAGACACTTTGAAGACCATCCCCCGCTGCCTTTCTTGGACCTCCTGGAAATTTTGGCTTAACAGCACTAAGAAAACCAGACAAGCTGAGCCACATCCCTGCTTCATTCTTCTGGAGGACGGTCGTCCAAACCAGCCCAGAGAAGACTTGAAGTCTAGGCAAACTTCATAGAGGAAATCAGGAAAGTTCAGGCTTGAAGTCTTTCACAGAGACCAAGTCTCACCAAAGTAAACGGACTTGGGGTGCTCTGCCTGTGACACAGGGAAAGGCTGGAGGTAGATTCTGGAGACTCAGCTGTGGCTCAAGTGGTAACTCCAAGAAATGGGCATCAGATCCTCCTATTATCCACTTCTGCCCACCAGATGCAAGCCACTGGCCAGCTCATGGGCCCCCAATCCCCTCACAGTCAGATCCCGTGGCAGTTCTTTTCATGTCCTGAGTATTCTGTGCATGATGAGCCAACCTTGGGTGGAGGGCCTGGCTCATGTGAGGCAGGCTGGCCGCTCATGACAATCCCTTCCCCTCTGTTGAGCCGCCATGGCCCATCCCAGCCCATCCCTTTTCCTCCCACAAACAGCAGACAGATCAGTGGGTAGGTAACCCCAGGCCAGCTGCTCTAGCTCTTCCCAACCCCCACCCTCTTGTACCAGAAAGTTGACATCCTACCTTGTAAATATCCAAAATTTAAAAAGTAAAATATGAAAACTGAGAAGGCAAGAGGGAGAAGAAACCAGGAGCCCCACTGTGGCCTTTCAAGAGCTCTGCAGTTGGACACTGAGATCTTGCAGTGGGTGTTTACAAATTACACACGGACACCCAAGCAGCTATCGTTCTTTACACAGTATCCCTGGAAGGTCCTCGGATCTCAGGATCAGAAAGTGCAATAGGCAAGAACTCCATAAAAAGAAGAAAAATCCATTCCAATAAAACACTAGGGCGAGAATAAATCATGGTACAGCAAGGCTCAGACACACCTATCGGGATCCAAGACTTAGAGAACGCCCAAGGAAGTATGGGCACTGCTGTTGAATTAAAAACAATCCAGCTCATCTTGCAAACAGAAAGTAGTTCAACTTCCTGCTTAAAAAGTCACAGGGGGCTCGTTGGAAAACCTACAAGATGAGAGACTTGGCTTAAATACAAAGGATACCAGTCTGTGATCTATGTAGAAGGTGACTGATACAGACCACACCTCTTCATAAGTAGATTCACAACACAAGCACAAACTCCATATCTGATAGATCTCTAGTACTCAGATACATCAGTCAAATACAACTAGAGGCTTTCTCTTCTCCTATTTAGTTAGGCTATCAAAAGGTGGCTTACTTCTAACCCTGAAGCATCCAAAACATCCCAGGATGAGGGCATGGGTGCAGAAAGTAATTACTAATAGTACCACTTAGGGGTAGGTTCTTATTCACGCCTATGTGGAATGTGTTTTCACTTAAGCTACACTTTACAAAGCAGCTGGATTTCCCTAAAAGTGGCTTATGAGCTCTAGAAAGGACATCCTGAGTGCAAAATGATACTGGGATGGGTCAGAATAGCTTCCCATAAGAAACATGACTAATCCTGAAATTAATCACACATCTATTACCCACAGATTCTGAAAACAAAACCTGAAAGGTCACAACCTACATGATGCTGAATGTGGAAGAAAAGCCAGGTTGAACGGTATAGTAGATAGACTTAGCATTCAAAGCCAGAGGGGACAAGGTGGTAACCTGACTCTGAGGCTCACCAGCCATGCAGCTCTGGATATGTCCAATAGCGCTTTCCTTTGACTCTTCTGTAATGGAGAAAACCAGACTTTTGCATCCTCACAAGTGACATGAAAAGCCTCACCCAGAGCACAGACATGACGGGCATTCAGTGAATAAGGGCTGCAAGTATAAGCAAAGCTTCCCACTGACCAAGAGATGGACCTGGCAATCCCAGAACGTACGTTGGAAGCTGAAGAGGAAGACAGGCAGGAAAGAGGATCCTACGGGGTAGAAAAATGGACTCCACCTCCAGAACCAGAGCTGGGAACACCCACAGAGCCTGGGCACATGGCAGCCAGGAAGGAGCCAAAAGGCCCAGAGGCTTCTGCATGAGCTTCTGCTACGTGAAAAACGCTGCATCATTCTGAGAATCTCCTGTGGGACACCGTGAGGCACCGATATGTTAAAGTACCAGCTAGATAAAGACAGGATTCATCCCAGATAAGGTCTGAACACACTCAAGCTGGCTCACAACTTGAAAAACTGGAGCAGAGCAAATCGACTTTGAGAAACACAAGAACGTGGTACTTAACGATGGGCCAGATGAAATCCCCATGCTGAGATGTGAGATAACGGAGAGCCTGGGGGAAACCAGACCAAGCATCAAGGGTGAGGAAGAGGGGGCAGCAAGGAAACCATCATAGTACCAGGAGCGTGTAAGGATGTCACATGCTCTGTACCGACAGTGCAATGACAACAGGTAGCAACAACACAACCACACATCACAGTGGCACACTTCGGAAGTACATGAATGAGTGAAGGAAGTCTACTTCATGCAAAAGCGTGCAGTTCTCCCTAGGTCCAAGTATCTAATGTCTTTCTCCCTACTGTCTCTGAGACCCTGCAAGACACCCCACTGCTCTGCTCTTTCATCTCTTTGGCTCCACATGCCTGCCCTCCCCATAACCTCTGCATTCTTCAGTCCTCTTCCCACCTCCGTGCCTTTGCAAATGCTGTTCCTACCACTAGGAAAGCCTTTCTTCAGGCACCGGAATAGCTTACGTCCTTGCTTCATTTATGTTTTCAATCAAATGTCACAATTTTAGAAGGGTCCTGCAGACCACTCTACCTACACAGCTCTGCCTGTCACTACTTATCCCTTACTCTACTTTGCTGTGCTTTATCATACTTATTGTGAAGCCTAGTGTTACACCAAACACCAATCGTGATTATCCCATCTCATGGACTGCTCTTCCTACCTAGAAGGGAAGCCCATCGGGGCAGGGATCAGTCTTGTTGGATGCTGTGTCCTCAGTCCCGAGAGCATTTCAGTCTTCAGTAAATGTTTATGCAAAGAAACATCAGCACCAATATCCACACAAGAGAGAAAATCATAAAATCAGGGACAGGGTTAAAGTCTCCCCCTGTCTAATCTTAAAAATCACAAGTATAACAACCTCCTAGTGGCACTCATGGGTGTTAACCATGTTTTATTTTTCTTAATAAATGAGCTAAATGAGTAAACATTCTCAAAGCTCTGACTAATAAAGCAGATGACATTGACAGTGAACTATAAACAAATGCATGGATAATAACAGGCTTGCTCACTCTTTCATCCATAAAGTAAACAATGTGAAGATGACTTTAAAAATAAAGACATTATTCCAAGAGCAATAAACTTTATGCACTGCACTAAAACGTCCATGTGTTTAGCCCGGCACGCGTATGTGGCAATTAAGAAATGAAACAGTCAAGTGCTTACCCACTCTTCTAAAATGCGTGACACTGCTTCGTTGGCTCTCACCATATTCCTACAGGCCAGGATCACGTGAGCACCATGCAGGGCAAAAGACTTGGCAGTTTCAAACCCTGTGGTTTAAAGGAAAGCCGACATTAGAAAACACAGCATCCAGGTGCTGAGTCATGTCAGAGGTGGTGATGTGCCCCGGGGACAGGTATAAGCTCTGGAGACGCTGTCGGCAGGCTTCGACTCACATCCAGTGAGGAAAGGCCGGGGAATCTATAAAACATATCACAGCCACCTATATGGCCCCCACCACACAGGATCACCTGCCCAAGGTCCACAGGTATGCGTGGCAAAGCTTCCCCTGGACACTGAGCAACAGCCAAGATGAAGGCCCCGAGAGAGAGAAGAATTCTACAGATAGCCTGTCCTCTAACCACCAACAATGCCTGGGGTGGGGCAGGGCTGCTCTGTGCCACAATGATTCCAGTGCTTCTGCTTCCAATAGTAGTGGACCAACCCTCCCTATGAAGCACAATCAGAAAAGTTGGGTGGTACATCACACACACACACACACACACACACACACACACACACACACACTCTGTGGAAGCATCAGAGAAGGACATTACTACTAACAATTCTTTAGGATAGCACTTAGCACATTTCGTTCCTCTTAAGTTCCTATTCTAATTTCCAAAGCGGTGGTTTGAGAGCCTGAAAAGATGGGCAGTGCTGCGACAGCCCTAAGACAGGGAGAAAAGCACAAGTTTCAGAACCTACCAGGCCTCCGGCTCTGGTAAACACATCGAACTCCTGCTTAGGCTCCTAAACGACTGCTGCCCTCACAGTACAGCCGAAGTCAGTCCAGCATGAGGAGAAGTGCAGCTCAGGGCACTTCACTGTCTGATTGGACTGAAATGATCACAGGAAAAGAAAATACGACATAGTGTTCTCTGGAGCCCTAAAATCATCACTGCAATTAATTCCAAACCTCTGGCACACAAACAAAAACAGCAAGACATACATAAAGATAAGACCCCAACAAAAGACAGAGGTGGGAAAGCTAGAAACGAATGGACAGGCAGTCCATACAATGCCATTAGCACAGGTAAGGATCAAAGTCACTATAATTAATATATTCAAAAAATAAAAAGCAGATAAAAATTATACTACTGAATTTGAAAAATGAAAAAGTAGTCAAATAGATAATACAAAAATTAACACAGCAAGCACAATTACAGATAAAAAGTACAAGTTTAACCCAAAAAAGACATAGTTAAGAGAAGATATAAAAAACTAGAAAAGTCAAAAGAAAGTTTCAAAATGAAGCATAAAAGGAAAAAAAAGATGACTAATACACCAAGAAACATGGAGACATGCTGAGCGCAATGTCTTGTGCTCTCCCACAAAACTGCCAAAAAGAAAAGCTTAGGACATAAGCAATATTTGAGTGCCTGCTAACTTTCCAAACGAATCACACACATCAAGCAACAAATTCAACATTCATTTTGAGCCACAAGTAAGTACAAGGACTAACGACCACAACTGAAAGACAAATACTCATATTGCACAACACCTGCACATAACACGCTCCTTGCAAAAGAATGTATGTTATTTTTTATATATTGAAGCATAAGGGAAAATTTAAAACGAAAGATTGAGAAAGATATAACATGCAGTGTAAGTCAGAAGAAATCTCATTTCATTTATAGTAATTTCCAAAAAGGAAACTTTAAAGAAAGCATTATTACAAGTGAAAAGATTGAACTTTTCATAATGGTAAATTTCACTCCACCAAGAAAATATGCTAATTCGAAATATATATATATATATATATATATATATATGCATCTAATAATAGATTCTCATACAAGATAAAATTGACAGAGCTGGCAGGAGAAACACGAGAGCTCACAATCACATTGAGAGATTTTAGCATAGCCTTCTCAGTAAAGGATAAAATAAGCAGACAAAGATAAAGAACACAGCAGATTTGAACAACATAACTGACAAAGAGGAAATAACTGAATAATCACCAAACACAACAGCAAAGTATACATTCAAGTGGCTGAGAAATATTTATCAAAATTGACTGTACTCAGATCTAACAGCAAATCTCAACAGCCTTCAAAGGATTAAAATTGGAAAGCGTGTTTCTAGACCACCATAGAATTAAGTTAGACATCAACAAGATCTCAGGAAAGTCCTCCTTACTAGAAATGTATTTTTAAATAAATAAGGAACTGTGATTCAAGGTTGCATTGAAAATTTTAAAATGCTTTAAAATACATAATTTTTAAAATTCTACATATCGAAAGTTCTGGAAGGGGATGGGGACTATGTCTTGATGGTAGGGCACTTGCCTAGCACAAGAGAGGAAGCCCTGGGTTTAATCCCCAGCATGCACACATACTCACATACTCATGCACAATATATATATATAACACGTATATTTGTAATAATAAATATGTAATATATAATAATGACATGCTAAAAACACAATTCATAGTATTAACTACATATACTGAAAAACAAGTTTACAAGACAAAAAAAAAAAAATATTAAACCTGAAACAAGCAGAAGGAAAGAAATAAAAATAAGAGGAATAAAATTCAGAGAAATAAAAGTTAAAAGTCAGTTTAAAAAAAAAAACTCATAAAATTGATAAAGGATCAGCAAGATGGAGGACAAAAGAGAAAGAAAAGGTATAAATGACGGGTACCAGGGGTAAATCAGCAGAGATCACCACGTGACACCAACAACATTGGCAACAAAAGCACAAGGAGATAAGCAGGATTACATCAGACTAAGAGCTTCTGCATACGAAAGGAAGTGTTTCACACAATGCAAGGGCAACCTGCAGAATGGGAGAATTTGCCAACTATATAGCTAATGAAGGTTTACAATCCCAAATATTACATGCATAAGGAGCACCTAGAATTTAACAGCGAAGGAAAAAAATCCTATTTTATAAATGAAGAAAAGGTAATAACAAACATTTCTCCAAAGAACATATACAGATAGCAAATCATTATATGAAAATGAACACTAATCATGAGTGAAATCCAAAATTAAAGCATCACTTCACACCTCTTAGGAGGCTAAAAAATAAACAGGGCTGAGATTGTACCACAGTAACAGTGACTTGCGTAGCAAGCACAAAGACCTGCACTTTATCCTAGCATTGTAATAATAAATATTTATTTTTTAAAAACACAAAAGATAATTATTGGGGGCTATACACAGAAGAGGGAACCTTTACATATAAGAAATATATATTCCTCGGTGGAATTTGTACCACCACCATGGAAAACAAGTAAAATTAAAAATATATGACACACATTGTGGTGCATGCCTAGAATCTCAGCACTCCGCAAGGCTGAGGCAGAAAGTTTGCAGGCTCAAAGGCAGCCTATGCATTACAACGATTTAGGAAGATTCATTCTTGAAAATGAAAAATAAAATAGGGCTTGAGAAACAACTCAGTGCAAAAGCCCTGGGTTGAATCACCAGTACCACAAGTAAGCCAGTAAATGACCGAATGAATGAAACAGAAGTACCATATACCATATGACACACTAATCCCACTTCTGGGTGTAAGTCAGAAAAAAACAAAATCTGGATCTTGATGAGATATACACACTGTCACACTAACTATAGCATCGTTCATAACAGTCAAGACCTAGAAGCAACCCACATCCCTGCTGATGGATGAATGGATAAAGAAAATGTGACACAGTATTTACATGCAATGGAGCACTATTCTGCCTTAAAAAATAAGGCTATCTTGCCATTTTGGATAGCAGTCATGAAGTAAGAGGACACTGTGCCAAGTGAAATGAGCTAGACACAGAAGGGCAAACCACTCCCATGAGGAATCTAAGACCAACTAGCTCACAGAATCAAGAGGAGATGCTTTCCAGGGGATGATGGGGAAGAGAAAACAGTAATCAAAGAGTACAAGGTGTCAGGTGGACAGGAGGAAAAAGACCCAGAGACCTAACACACAGCACTCTGTCTAATATTAACTGTACGTACAAGATATGATGAAAAAATACAGCGTGTTTAAATTTTTTAAAAATTAATACAGTGCTTGCTTTGGTAGCACATATATTAAAATTGGAATGATATAGAGAAGATTATGATGGCCTCTTTTTAAGGATGCCATGCAAATGTGTGAAGCGCTCCACACTGGTTAATAGTTACAAGTTTCTAAACTGTGCTTGATGCTATTGTTACTACTAATTATGCTACTTTAGTTAGGAAGCCCTATCCGTTGCAATCCATTGTTCTCCCTTCTGTAACAACACTGGGAGGCTCTGGGATAAAAACCTCATCACATCCCAGGACCAAAGAGCTGAGACTGAGCCAAACAGATGCCAATATGTCACTCTTAATGAACTGGGAAGGTAGGATCTTGGGACAGTCACAAACCAAGAACCTCTTATACACAGAAGACATCCCTGAAGAACACACTTTTCCTAGAAAGGACTTGATACTACTACAAAAGCTTACAAGGACCAACACAGAAAACAAAATAAAAATTATTGAAATAGAAAATGACAAGAAGCAGAAGGAAAATGAAATTTCAGACCTCTAGCCCACCCAGTATAAATCCAGGAGACAACAAGATACAGGAAAATGGAAGACACACACCTGAAATTTCTGAAACGATAGCAACTGAGGTGAAGAAACAAATCCATGAAGCCATAGAAGAAACCAGATCAGAAATAATCTCTCAGGTAAAAATTATTACAGATAGGTTGTGTCATCACACACCCCCAGCATGCTCACCTTAGATTCCAACACGCATATCCTATCACTCGTGCCTCTTCCTGAAGCACTTCTGGAAATCTTCCTCATGTCTTCACTTGCACTGTCATGACTACCTTGACGCCCTGAGTCAATTCAGAATACTTTTATGGTCACCTTGACTTTGGAGAAGGGCCAGAATTGTACAGTGCCAAATCCAGTGAATAGGTGGGGAAAGACACATCAAAATACTCTTAGAAACCTGTCTTCCCACTTGTTGGCACTCAGCTCAGCAGCACGTTTTTCTATCTTATCTCATATAGACACAAGAAAAGGACTTCCAGGACTGCTCTGAAAGTGTCAGCGATGCTGGCATGTGTCCATTCCACAGGAAGGTGAGTGTTTTGAGGGGACTAATGGCAATGTGTCTTTAACTATACTAATTTTTAAAATGTATCCACCATATTTTTCACTTATTCCTTATTCATAAAAATTTACAAATAACGTGATCTTACATTAAGAGTTCTTATTACAAAAAAAAAAAAAAACCATAAACATATACAATAAAATCCTAAAGAGGTCAGAAGGAATATATTTATACGTAAGGGATAAATTCTGGTGATGATTTTGGGGATTTAAACTGACCTCCATGCTTATCAAGTTGCATGTATTTTTATATTTCAAGCTATTTTAAATTTTAAAATAACTAAAGGGCAACAGACCCTACAAACTCTAAAAAAGTTCTTAAAAACCACTTTATATCAATAAATTCATAAATGAAATAGATAAATTCCTTTTAAAAGTCCTACTGAAAGAATTACAGGAAGAAACAGGAAAACTGAAACTTTTTCATGTATTTTTTAAAAATGAACTCATATTTCAAAATTGTACCCAAAAGAGAACACTGACAGGAGAATACAGAAGTAATCTAACTCAACAACCTGCCACCAAATCACTGTAAACTATCATACTCTTTCAGCTACGGAGCAAGGCCATATAGAGAACAATGCAAAAATGAAGTAATCAAGTCTGCCAGAGAAAGTAACTTGTGGCTCAGCCAAACCCATGTCAAATGACCAGAAATTATAGTCCCCAAGGTAATGCTCCTGTGGGTGGAAAATCAGAGTCCCCTTCCATTCCTCAGATTAGCATATGAAAGAGCCTGGTAAACTTCATTCCACCACCCCCAAGATCTAATTCTCATGGGTCATGTCCATTTATACGAACAGCTCTCAAGGAAAATCAGCACAAGCATAGAGGAAATCTCAGAGCCAGGAGTCTGACAGCCATGTGCTGACCCCAGATCTAACCAGTTCCACGATATGGGATCTGAAGTTAAACCATTTTAACCAGTTACCTTCTCTGTAAGAGACAGAATAAGCAGTAAATGTACATTAAGAGCCTAATGTTAACATGGTATCAGAAAACAAATGTGTTGTCTGCTCTTTTCAAATTCCTTGCTATGAAGTCCTATGCTTCTCTGATTTGTCTGTCCTGCAACCCCAGGGCAAACAGCTTTAACATCAACCAAACCCAAAGAAGCTAGAGGTACCATCATCCCATCTGCCTTAGTACTGTCTCTGGAGCACTCCTGAACTTCACTGGAGAAATAACCTACAATTATTCCTTGAGATCCTGCCAAACTCTACTGAAAAACATTCACTTTTCATTACCTATGGATTGCCTGATACCTGAATCAGATGCAGCAAAATGCACAAAGTTTTTACAATCTGAAATAACCGAATAAACTTCTCTTCACTATATGTAATAAAAGGTGGTTGAAGCTATGCATCTGGAATACAATAATCTAAAATTCATTTATGATAACAACTTCACCCCTCATCTCTAGTAAGCATAAAGCGTCTCCAGCTTAGATGCGCCACCACTGGTTGGAAAGGAAAAAAAAAAAAGGCCTGGGATGCCATCTCACAGATGTGCCATCTCCATCAGGCTGGTGAAATGCTGACACTCATGAGGAGGCAGCACCAAGCGGCCCACGTCACCTTCTCCTGTACTCCCAGGACTGGACACCCCCTCCCAAGACGTCTGGGAGAACGGCCAGCTCTGGGAGCCTTAGAAAGTTCCAAGTAGAAGCAAAGACCAGAGATATTTCTCATCACATTTTTATAAGAGGATATTAAAAGAGAAAAAATGATATAGGAGAATGGGAAAGAGGGAGGTACAAGTCTTGGTCCTGTGTTGGCAACCATATGTCTAACAAGTTGAGAGAGTACCGACACAATGCAAGGCCAGGCAGGCCCGCAGCTTGATCCAATTCTCTGGGCCAACAGGAAATTGCTGGGCCCTATGCCTCTGCCTTGCTGGATGCCATGGGGCCAGCACACAGTAGGATTCAATAAGGATCTGGGGAAGGAATGAATAATCTTTGCAGCCTGCTAGTAGCCCACAAATCTGGATCCTTTTAAAATAATCCAAGTTGTTTCAAAGAGCAACCCTATTGGCCCTCTAACTCAGCTTTTTATAATGAAAAAATATATATTAAAATCCTGCAAAGAATCTGCTCACTACAGTTTTGAATGACACTGCCTAGAAACCTGCAGGGAGAATGCATGCCCTTTTTCTATCAAATTTTATTTTCCCAAACAAACCTGTTAAGTTGTGCTATCTCACTTGACAAAATAACCTACGGCAAAAGACTTTTTATTACCAAAAAGAGCACATCCGACACGAGAGCAGCAACAGGCTGCAGGCACAAGCTTGCCTCTCCTCTCACTTAGATAATTCCTGACTGTAGTTATGGTTAAGCCGTCTGTCTCCACATCTTGCAGAGTTATTCTCTGGGTCCTACATCTCCCTTTATCTACGCAAAGCATTTCTCGTTGCTGGTCTACTTGTCAAAGCTACAGCAGACAATTCCATTTTCTTACCCTGTACAATTGCCTTTGGAACAGAAACAAAGCATGGATATTTCAAATGATGATGGCTTAACAGGAAGGACAATAACACTTTTATAGTAAACCATATCTCTGGAGTATGGAGTTTTATAAAAAAAAAAAAAAGTTTAATAATGCTACCTACTGCTAAGTCCTGGATAAAGCCCATGAGAATAGCACCCCTCACTCTTGTAATACTGCAGCTGATGGCCAGTTTAATTAGCTAAATGTAGTAGTGCGAAGCCAATTCTGCACAGTGCCAAAGTTTGTGCAGAATAATGAAGGCAATGGTTTACTAAATTTAATAACCTGATTCATCTTATAAAAAATTAACTTTATGACAATGTTTAAATTGAACCAGCTTAACTGCATGGAGATGGCAAGAGTATGTCCAGAAGAATATTTAAAGTTCATAATATAAAGAAAATAAAGGAAGACGTTTTTAAACAAGGGGCAGCTTTGGTTTTGGTGCACTTGTTATATCTGCTCCAAGCAGAAAAGTTAGGTGGCCAGGCAGGTTTAGTAGCTCAGTCTTGGCTTTTAAGCTGTAACATCCACATATTGCAGAATGCAAAAGTTATCCCCAAAATTAAGTTAACTGCTTACATAACAGCTCTCTGGAACAGAAGTTCTAAATTGGTGGGGACTGGATGAACCAAGAGACTTGTTCTGTGTGGCCACTCTGTTTCTCTTTCTCCTTCTCTCCGGGCCTCCCTTCATTTCTTCCTGTCTCTCTCTCTCTAGTCCTCTCTCCCTTTCTTCTCCTCATCCTTCCTGATTCAATTAGTTGCATCATTAGAAGACTCGGGAGGTCACAGCCCAAAACCAGATGGAAACATCTCCGAAGAAGCCTGCGAGAGGCGCACCCTGGGACCTCAGTCCCAGCTGGGAGCTGCTGCCAGCGCTCGATGAGCTTGTGCTCTCCAGTGAGCCAGCCAGTTGCCACCTTGGTGCTGCATGACCGCTAGGCTACTGTGACATCTGGTGACCAGTTCTGTAGGGAAGGCTCCTGACAAAGGCGACTGGAGCCTACTCACAGCAAAGGCTCAATCTGAAGATTCCATCCACTTCTTTGAAACTTAAATAATGTTTCCCACTGACCTGCTTGAGCTTTTGCTTACAACATGTCAAGCCAGAATTCCAGCTATGGCTGGGCACGTAGCTCTGCAGTGAGGAAAACAAATGGGTGACAAGTCTGGGATCTGCAGGAGCTTGGGTCTGTGACACAAGCTCCCAAATGTCACAGAGTGGCAGCACAAACTCCGAGCCAAGAACTACACTGGTGCCGAAGGGGATACAGGTGAAACAGACAAGCAAGAAGGCAAGGTGTGTGGAAAAAAGACCACTGAGCAGCCTCACAAGAATGAGGTACAGAAAGGGCAACAGAGAGGACACCCTGCACACTGAGCTTAAAAACAAGGGCTCTTGGTGGGGGCAGGGTGCCTGTGAAAAGCTGGAATACAGAGTAACACTATGAGGTGTTTTGTTTGTTTGTTGTTTTAATACCGGGGATTGCACAAAGCCATATTCCCATCTTTGCATTTTTTATT